CTGCTTCTAGCCCTGCAAACAGGAACAGCTGTTGCTAGTTCTGGAAAGCTCTAGGGTGCTAATTGAAAGGAACGCTACTCCAATTTCTGGGAATTACAACAAATATTTGTTGTAATAGACATGATAAGACTGTAAGAGTGATGACCGTGAAGTTTGTCATTGGCTTCTGGCATCTGGCTTGTGAATCTGACTGTAACTGTGACCTATTATAACTCAGGTGATTAAAGCAAGGGCTGTCATCAATATGCCCGCAGTTTACAAGCGTACCAAATATAAATTGTATTAATGGTGAGCCACCACCTCGTACTTCAGACTGATGAATGGCTGTGCCCTTTTCGTTGTTCCTTTTTCAAATGATTTGTTTTCTGGCAGCTGCGAATCTTGCCAACCTATCAGAGCATGATGGGCAGAGCTCATGAGGTGCCAGAAGGACAGCTCCTTTTCATCCGGGACAGGGAAGAGCTCTACATTCGTGTCCGCAGTGGTTTCAGGAGAGTCCTTGTGAGTATAATGTGTGTGAACACAGCAGTCTTGGGGTAAGACTGTAGGTGGACTACTACCTTGGAGAGCGGTCTTTCTCTGTGGGGTATTGGCAGACGCTCAGAGCAATGCAGAACCAACTGCTAATTTATACACACAAGAGAGAATGCAATGCCAGGAAGAAACGCTCCCTTGTAGCGATGAATGAGCTTCCTCTGGCTTGATTTGGAAGAAGCTTACTTGAAACAATCTGATATGGGATTCATAGACATTGTTTCCTCCTTACCAAATGAATTCCTGGATAAGTTTCAGGTTGCAACAACTACAGCTTTATTTCATTCTGGCAAATGTTCCCTTTCCCTCCAAAACCGAATATGCATTCGAAAATAGCAAAATTCATCCTTAAGAATAATAGCAATAGGGTGCTGGTGGTATAAAGTGAACTGTGAGCTGGGAATTCCCTAGATGAATTCACTGGGTGGTCTTAGGCAAGACTTCAGACCTGCAATTTGGAGATAATAATACCAACCTAGAGTTCTTTTAAGTATTACAAAGCAAGCAAAACACATCATATAAATGCTATAATGACTTATTCTGATTTAATTTCAGCTTGAGGAAAGAATATCCATCTCTGGCCCTGGGCTGGTAAGTGAAACATTATTACCTGGTGTTGTCGCATAGACTATTGTGGGTCATTCCAAGCTTGCTAGGAGTTTTGAGATCCAGGGATTATCAATCTTTTCAATGTTCTTTAGTGTTTGGATTTCAATACATGGTGACCTACATGGTGCACTCGGGTATAGATCAGGGAAAATCCAAATGAGGCATGTCATGCAGGGGGAGTGTGACTTGAATGATCAGCTCCACAGTGGGCTACTAAGGATTTTGTATCACCTGTACTGGGATGCAGCTGATGTAGCTGGCTGTTGTTCAGACTGGTGGTGTACATGCTTGGCTCTGCTGGTAATGCAGCCGGATGACTGTGCTGCGAGTGGCAGGAAATGGGGGGGGGGGTAGTGGTGGCTTTATTTGACCTGTGCTCTTCTGTGGGATGGACCCCTTAAGAGGACACTTAGAAAGGGTTCTAGGAACATTACCCTTCATTTCTGCTGCAGGACAATGAGGTGTATGATAGGCCTCCCAATGTCCACTACTCCCATGGAGGAACGGCTTCATCATCTGGATCCCAGCGCCCCTTCCAACAGCATTTGCCTGTGCATTCCCACCGAGAATACAGCGCCTACTCCACTGCCAAGCCCTGGAGAGGGGATGAGAGTGTGGCCAACCAGCATCGCCTTCCTGAGCAACCCGCCATCCACCAGCCACACCAGGGAGCCCAGCACCAGCAGGAGCCACTGAATGCCTTCTTCCTCAACCGCCAGCCTGATACTGCTCCTTCTGCCGTCCACACCCACCATGACTTCCAGCCCGCTGTGAGTGCCCTGCACACGTTGGTAGAGTCCCCTGCTGCAGTTTGGTGTTTTGCCTGGGTGGCTGCCTCAATTGGCCCTACATAATGACACCGAGAGTGGGGTCATGAAAGCAGCTGGCACCAAAGGGTCCCCTGCCTCCTGACTTCCATTGTGAAGGGTTCCTCTGTACAGGTTGTCCACCTAGCTTAGCATGATGGTCTGCCGCTAGCAATGAGGAGTCTGAATGGGCTTCTTTGCCAGCAGTAGGGATGAATGAGCAAGAGGCCCCTTCAAGAATCCCAATCAAACATTGAAACCTCTGAATGGTGTGAGTTCATGGCTTGAAGGGCCCAAAGGGCCCAATCCCCTCAGAGAGGGTGCCTGCATCCTGCATCCCTTTGCTTCAGATGTAGGCAGCCAGTCAACAACCTACTCACTCCATCCCAGGCTGGGAGGCTGCTCCATGGGGCCACCCTATGCTTACAATTTGGTATAGGTTGCCTTTGGAGTAGAGACTACAGGGGCTGACCGGCTGGCTAGTCCACACCCACACAATTTGTACAATATATCCAGTTCTCATTTGATGGAATGCATCCCAGAGCCAGGTTGCAATAATTTTGATGAGGGCGAGGGTTTTTCTACATACTATATCCTCTGCATTTTAGTTATAATTTGACTGCTTTGTGGACATAACCATTGAATAGGCAAACTGCTTCTGAAATGTCCGCCCAACAATGAATGATTTCCAGTGAGAGAAATAACAGGGCTGGCCTCTCATGATACTCAGGAGTCCCAGAAAGCAGCAGCAAAGACGCCCGACCCCCACGCTCAGCCCCATTGCTGACTGGCTGCTTGTATTGTGGTGGCCGGACATTCCTCCCCCTTTGCATTCTTAGCACCTCTGCCAGTTGCACTGAGAGCTCCCTTGTGTATTGGTACAGGCTCCCTCTCATGTGTGGTCGTCTTCTTTTCCAGCTCCACCTCATAGCCCTGAACACTCCCCTGAGTGGCAGCATGCGGGGCATCCGAGGAGCTGACTTCCAGTGCTTCCAGCAAGCCAGGGAGGTTGGACTGACGGGCACCTTCCGAGCGTTCCTCTCCTCCCGACTGCAAGACCTCTACAGCATAGTGCGCAGGGCAGACAGGGGCACGGTGCCTATTGTCAACCTCAGGGTACGTCTGGTCATCTGGTCAGAGGCTTGAGCAAACACAACGCTTCGTGACAGCGGAAGGCAAACATGAAGCTCAGCGATGGGATTGCTGTCTTCCTTTCCTGCCCCTGTGTAGGATTGCAACCTCTAAGTGATGTTAATTGAAGCTAGAACTACACATCAAGACTAGTGGTCAGGGCCAAACCTGCAAGGCAGCATCATCATCTCTTAACAACACCTAATATTTATTTACTTTTTGTAAAAAGGTTTAAACCAACTTTGAAAAGTTTGAGAATGTTGGTAATACCTTTATCTTTAATACTTGATCTGTAATGCAGCTCAAGCCGTCACCTTGAATACTTCTGTATAGAGCTGCCTTGCATTGAACTGGGAGACTGGCAGCTGTCCTTCCAGGTTCTCAGGCAGGGGCCTTTCCCAGACCAGTTGCTTAAGATATTTTAAACCATAGGCACCAGGGAGTGAACCTGGGACATGCAAGGTCCCAAGGTCTTGTCCATGGAAAGGGCAGCCTGTCTCAAAGTTATCAGACAGGCAGAAAGTATTCTCAGAGCAGTTACATTATTACATTGCCCGTTTCTGTTCCTTTCCAGGATGAATTGTTGTTTAATAATTGGGAGAACCTTTTCTCCGGCACTGATGCTCCATTCAGAACTGGGGTTCGCATCTTCTCCTTTGACGGAAGGGATGTCCTGAGAGACTCTGCATGGTAGGTGGGGGAAATGGTTTTGTTTCTCTGAAGATCTGGGAATGTGCGATGGTTGCAGGTTTGCTGCCCTTCCAGCTGGGCCTGGCCTCTCTGGCTCTGCAACTCCAAGGGCATCAAAGAAGATTCCTTTGTTTATAAAGAGCAGGCAAAGAGAAGAGGAATGTGTTTGCTATCCTGTATTCTTTTTCCAGCTCCATGTGATGCTTCTCTTGGGGGCAGGTTTTCAGGAACAAAATGTTTAGACGCCAAGCATTTTATGATGCCCCAGCAGTATAATATTCGTGTGTAGCATTATTTTCCTTCCCAAAAGACTGTCCAAGGTCAAGAAGTGGAGTAAATGTCCCAGGTATCTTATCCCAAGGCTGGCAGCAGTTCATTCCTACAAGATGCTGCCCAGACCAACTGTCCCCACTTTATGTGGCAAGAATGTGTGGCTTTGAGAGTCAACACTGTATAGAGCCAATGAAGCATCAGCCCAAGGGGAGCTGTGATTGCTGGGGCACCTGCAGCCACTTACATGTGAAGCAACCCCTAACACTCTGGTGTGTTTCAGGCCTCAGAAATCCGTGTGGCACGGCTCTGACTCCAAGGGACGGCGGCTAACAGAGAGCTACTGTGAGACCTGGCGGACAGACGACACGGTGGTGACAGGGCAGGCTTCCTCGCTGGCGTCGGGCAAGCTGCTCGAGCAGAAGAGCAGCAGCTGCAAGAACGCCTTCATCGTCCTCTGCATTGAAAACAGCTTCATGACTTCTTCCAAGAAATAAAAAACGGCACACAACAAAAGCACTGGCTGCAAGTGGAGGAAGGGAACCCAAATGTTTTCCCTTAAGGAACAGGGGAAATGGGCAAACGGTTCCCACTCCCCACCCCCCACCCCCACCAGGATCATGTGCCCAAGCAGTTCCGCAATATATCAGTCAAGCAGATGAATGAGTGACAAAGCCAAAGAGTGTCTTCCAGCGCAGCTCTGGTGCTGAATGTTTTGTGTCTTTCCTCCTGGCGTGGCTGCTGTGAATCATACCTGCCTGCTGGAGGGGCTGGAGCAGAACAGGCTTGTGTGCAAGGCAATCTCCAGGCAAGTGTGGTACACGGAGCAGTTAACTCTCTTTCTCTCTCTAATCCTGCTCATGTTTAACCCTTGAATTGTTTGTGTGTGTTAAGCTTCCCTGTTTGCCTCTCTCCCCCCCATTCACTCAGGTGGCCCCTTAAAAAAGCCAAGGCCATGTTGGGATAAGCCAGAAAGTCTATTTATTGTGGCTGATTTAACATAAGGTAGCCCTCAAACAGCAGCATCCCCCTTACTGTCAATATAGCGCTGCAGGTGTTTCTGCATTACACAACCCAATAACGTGGCACTGCCTGCCTTATAGTGGGGACATGGTGCTAAATAATACAAGCTTAGACCCTGCTGGACAGTGCATAATCATCAAAATTAAGATTTCTGTAAACACTGAGGTGGCTTTTCTGTTGTGTGCCCAGCATAGTATCAAGGGGGGGGGGGAATCCTGCCAAAGAGACCAGGAATTTGATTGTCTGCCCCCCCCCCCCCCGGAGAGTAATATATGGGCTTGCAGAAAATACACTCCCTTATCTCTGCTTGACTCACCAACCGGCATAATGCCTTATTATTTCCAAACATAGATGCAAACAACACTCTTCATAGCTGGTTGCAATTTTTGCTGCAGAGTTGAAAGTATCCTTTGCTGAGACAACATGCCCAGGGCAGCGAGACTGAACCTTCAAGCAGTTCTCTCCTTTGCTTCTTCCCCCACCCAGCCCTTTCACATTCTCTAGCTCTAAAAGAGAACTAGAGGTGTTAACAGCCTCCTAAGTGACTTTTGCCTCAGCCAGTCTCCTTACAGGCCATAATGGAAGAAGAAACTGCTTGCCGTTGTAACAATCAGTATTTGGATTTGTGGTTTGTTTGTTTTTTTACATTTTTATACTTTACTTGCCCTGCCTTCCTCCATTCTCCATAGAGGATGCCTCTACTAGCCCTATTCAAAGAGAACAGGTTAGTCAGTGCAAAAGTGGCAGGCCCTCCTGGCTGAAGCCTTGGGGGTCATGCTAGTCTCAGAACCCTCTGTTGCTTTAACCTATCAGAAGTGTGACCAAAGCCCAGTGGTGCAGAACCTATGCTTTGCATGCAGAAGGACCCAGGTTCAAGTCCTGGCACCTCCACTGTAAAGTAACAGGTGAGGTGAAAGTGTCCTACCTGAGACCCTGAAGAACAGATGGACCTATAGCGAGCTGTGTTTGTAGCAGGTGATCAGATTTATAATCCTCCAGCCAGGAATGTTCTCCTAAATGTCTCAGATCTGGAATCTGTTATTAGCAACTGCTCCAAAATAAGAGATAATACAAAATTTAAGCAATTAAGAACCATCTCTGTCCAGTATTGACCCCTTTCATTTCTCTCCTCTGTTCCCAATACACTGTGGCAGGAACCACCAGAACCAAGCCATTTCTAATAGCTGTATTTTCCAGCATTTCTTCTGCCGCATCAGAGCAGAATGGCACTGTGCTGACATTTTCGAGGGGGAAGGACTAGAGTTCACACTAGTCACTGTCTGTTAGTGTGCAGGCACAGGTAGGCAAGCAGTATTTTGCCATTTTAGAGCTGAATGCAGAGTGAAGGAAGCCATGCTTCTGGTCTTAACTGTGACTGAGCTTCTGGTACCTCTCCCTCCATCACAGCCCTTCCACTTCAGTGCCAGAAGCCTTGGCCAGGCAGATGATTGCTGTGTATCAGTTCTGTTTTAAACACATTAATGTCTGAGCGCTTGAGTCTGTTTTGACAAACCAAGGTGCTAAATTTCTACCTAGCTTTCATTGATTGTCTTTCTGAAATTTTATTACCAGATGGGGAGGGAGGGAGAGGGAGCCTGTGCAAGTCACACAATCAGTTTATTACTGTCTACTGTATTTTGTGAAATTTTTAATGCAATTTTAAAAGCCTGTGGATCTCTATATCTTTGTCAGTTGTGTGTTGTGTTCTATAAACTGTTTTCTAAAGGCACTGAATAAAGGAAAGTATCCTCTTGTTATTTGTTGTTGTTCATTTGCATGGAATTTCAGAGGGCTCTGTCTACGTCCCTGAACTGAACCCTGACTCCATTTGCTCCAGGAGAATGGGAAAACCGCCTTTTAGGCTGGAAGTGCCAGTGTGGCACTCACAGGCCCACCAGCGTGGTATCTGGGGAAAAAATCCACGATACACAATAACAGACTGTTTGCTCTTCCTGTTCAATATCTGTTTGCACTGACTTGGTCTTCCTACACTGAATGTACTCCCAGCACACATTTCACCTTCCCTTCTGAACAGAACAGCATCACAAAGAGCTTTCCATGAGCAAGCGAGTGCCTATGGGCTGATTGGGGGGGGGGGGGGGCACGGCTACACCTTTTTGTGGCCATGCTCCTTTTCATATGGCCGCCATTTTATGTTAAGCAGCCACTGTGTGACTTACCACCCATGACCTACAGGTCTAGCAGGATTCGTGGAACTGGCCCCTGGAGGCAAAACCAGATGAAAAGTCCAAGCTAGTTGGAAAGTCATCAGGACTCTGCTAAAGACCTGATCACTCCCACCTACCTCTCAAATGCCCACTGAGCATACTACTGCGGCCAGTATAAATTAGTATGCGACAGTGAAGGTATTTGAAAATCAGCCGTCTTTGGTGGGGAAAGTGGAAGAGAACAAGAATTTACAAGTCAGAACAAAATGCAAGTGTATACTTTCCAAGGATTATGTTCCTCCAGAGGATCTAAAGTGATTGTTAAAAGCGCATTGTGTTTCCCACTCACTGTCCCAAATGGATGAGAGGACGTGAGTTAGGTTGGCAGCCTTACTCTCAGTCCTGTTTTCTTAAGCATAACGCTGAAGACAAATATGAGAAGGAGCTCAATTTTCTTAGGAGGAAAGTTTCAACAAATATTACAATCCATAACTCCCAGCAGAGTATATTTACTGGTAACAAATTGATTGTTTTATAAAAAGTAAAACTATTGTATTTTTTTTTTAAAGTACCTGCATCCATCTTGCTTGCTGTTGACTTCTTTTAAAGGCTGAGGGGAAAGCGTGCAGAGTATTATCAGTGTTTAAAACTACATTCATAAAATTACCAAGTGCCAACCATAACACTGGCAAATGTCTCCATAATCTCACCTGAGCTCAGGAGCCTATGCCACACACATGACCAAGACTGGGGGGAAATCCAGTCGTCTGGTTGCATGCTGCTGATGCACAAGCCCTAAAGTTAAGGAAGGCCTTTTCCTTCTGCAGTGATCTGATACTCTGGAAAGCTGAGATGCTTCTAAGTGCTGATTAACATGGGAGTTCTCTGTGTTACATCCCAGCTGGGAGTATACAGGTAGGCCAGCTCCTTTTCTTCCCCATCCACCGTTTTCTCAGACTTCCAAGTTAGTCAGCTCTGTGCCTCTGTCCTCAACTGGCATGCTGAGTTCCTTGGGTGGTGCTTCCTCTGGAGGTTTCCTGCATCCATTATGCTTCACAGCCACATACACAGATGCAGAAAGATACACCACTGTCAGGAGCGTGAAATAGCCGAAGTAAATGTAGAACTGGAAAAGAGAGAGGGGGAGATATGATGTGTTGAGGCCCTGTGCCTTATTTTCCTCCAAAGCACTCAAAAATCAGAAATGGTCAGCAGCCCACAGAAGCACAGAACAGAGCTAGGAGGGAAACGCTTAAAGAACAGGAAGAGCACCACTGGATCAGGGGTCCATCTACTCTAGCGGCCAGCCAGGTGAAAATTCCCCTCAAGCTCCCACATACAGGCATAACAGCAATTGTCCCCCACTGCGTTCTGTTTGCCAGAACACAGCACCTGAGCTGGAATGTTCTATGTAGCTACCGTAAGTCAAAATGATATCCCATCTCTGACAGCAGGAACTCCACATGATGTGCATCTGCCAACCTCATTTGCAGCGACATACATAAAGCTGGAACTGTAGCTAAAAAAGGCACCCTGCTTTTCCTCCAGCCTCATCGATAAAGTCTACCTGAACTAACCCAACCAAATATTTCTCCAACCTGTGCCCGCTACTTCCAATAAGGAAGATTTAAACACACATGCATATCCTGCTGCCATGCTATTCCAATGCACTGCCACCATTTTTTATCTTGTCACATGAGCAGCGGGTAATTACAAGGCTTTATTAAGCCCACCACAGCCATGAGCCAGCAATGACAGCCCTTATGGGAACAGATTACATTTGCAGCTTCCAGATCAGCATCTTTTTAAAAAATAATAATATAAGCTCGGTTCTTGCAGGATGGATGAAGCTTTTGTTGAGGACAATGTAAGAGAAATCTGCAAATGGCAAGGATTAGTAGCAATTTACATGTTACAGCCAGTGTGGTGTAGTGGTTAAGAGCGGTAGTCTTGTAATCTGGGGAACCGGGTTCGCGTCTCCGCTCCTCCACATGCAGCTGCTGGGTGACCTTGGGCCAGTCACACTTCTCTGAAGTCTCTCAGCCCCACTCACTTCACAGAGTGTTTGTTGTGGGGGAGGAAGGGAAAGGAGAATGTTAGCCGCTTTGAGACTCCTTAAAGGGAGTGAAAGGCGGGATATCAAATCCAAACTCTTCTTCTTCTTCTTCTTCTTAGGGGGTAGTTCTGTAAACTCAGCAGAACTTTGCTTGGCAAGAAGTTCCATTGAAATCATGTGATTTGGCATGTGCTCAGGATCACTGTGTTAAGGCTCTCGCACAAACCTTTCATTTTTTGGAAAGGACAGAACTGAGTGACTGCTAGCCACCCTAGAAACTTACCCAAAGCAAGGGCATACGTCTCTTAACATAAATAAATAAGGAAGATAAAGAACAGAAGTTCTATTTTTCTTGGCTTACATGCCTTTTGGTTTTTGCCAGCCCTGCTTCCACTCCAGAACATGATGGGCAATACATAGAATGGGGTCAACAGCCAAAAGTGGTCCAAGCAAGGCAAGAGGATCCACCACAAATAAGTCTCTTTGAGTTCCCACTATGTGGTTCACCAGATTATTCAAAGGACCTCCTTCCATAGGAGGAACCTACAAAGTAAGCCCCAAAGGCAGCTAGAACCGGTCAAAAGCCCACTACCGCAAGCCTCAGTGTAACTTGTGCTTCTTACCTGAGGGTGGATTGAGAGACCCAGACCTCTCTTATCTGTTATGATGATGGTGATGACAGTCTTGAGAACTGTGGCGAGAAAAGTGTTGATTCCAAACACCAGGGCACAGAGCTCTTTGGACAGGGAAGCTGCAATCTGGAAACTTTGGTCAAAGCGAGAGAAAGAGAGGAAGGCAGGTCAGTTCTGCTGGCAAGCACTGAAAAGGCACCAAGGACAAAAGGGAGGGTCGCTTTATGGCTCAGGGCAAGGGTGGCCAGCCTGTGGCCCTCCAGACAATGAAGGACTACAGCTCCTATGATCCCAGACCACTGGCTATGCTCCCTGGGGCTGATGATAGTTCACAGTCCCGATACTGACAAAAGGTGACATTGCTATGAATTCTTGACCAAGCCAGTTATCCCTGTGATAACTTTGGGAGTCCCACAGGGAGGGCCACAGGTTCTCCATCCCAGGACCACAGCCACAGATGGTGTGCTGCAGCATCACCGACAAACAAGGCACTCCCAAAGATCAATGCATTTTTACTTACAAGCCGAAGATGGCACAGAGATAGGGCTAATGCTGGTTATTTTGTGTTGGCCTTAGAAGGCAGCTTGGGAGTGTTTACACCAAGAGGAGAGTTTGGGAAGCTGTAATACTTTTATCACTGATGTTAGTGAAATATCCAATGGTTAAAGGCATACAGTTGCTGGCCTGGAAGAGTGCTAAAGACTGCCTAATCCAGTTCTTTGTATTTAGTTAACCATCCCCGCCTTAGCACTTCCAACAAATTAGCTAATATCATTCAGAACATCAGCAGCAATCACCGTAGCTTGTTCACCTAGGCTGAATACTAAAAGCCTTCAACAACATATCTACCCTGGGACCAAAAGGTTATTCTTGGCATCCTTACAAGGGTGGGGGGATATTTATTGGCATTACAATCCCTCCTTTAGCAAAGCAGATACTAGAAAGCTAATTTGGTCTACTATATATTGGGGTATGCATGCAAAAAAAAAACCCCACATCTTTTTGCATGTTGAAAAGAGTGAGAATGACGATATATAAGGACTTCCGGGGTGGCGCCTCCGAAAAATGGCGGAATTCCCTTCGAACTGAAGGGAACCCGCTGCACGGAGGCTTGGGTCCTGCCGCTACGGCGCAGCGGGGACCCTGTAAAACCACAGGCGGAAGAAGCCTGTGGGCGTGGGACTCGGCGGGCACCGAGAGCGCTCTCTCCCTTGTACAGGAGCCCGGTAACGGGCTCCGGAGTGGAGGTGCGTGGTGCTGTGAGTAGTCTGCTTCCTCCGTGCAGCAAAGCCGCACTGCCGTTCTCGGAGAGCGCTGCCTTTTCCTGGACAATTTGGCATCTAAAACATCTATCCGTGAGTACCCGATCCTGGAAGAGCTGAACTACTTTTAAGATTGGTGAATAAATAAATAACATTGGACTTGAACTTGAAATTGAATTTAATTGGGACTCGGAACGGAAAGGTCTAAACAGGAAGTCGCCTTCCGTTCTTTTGTTACGTGAAGAAAGCAAAGACAAATTATACTAAAGCCTGGAAACTAAATTCTGAGAGAACTAAAATTCAACATCTAAGATTTCTGAACCCCCCCTTCGATTGCAGGAGAAGAAGGGGGTTGTTTTGATCTTTTCAACCCTGCGGGAGTGAGTTTAAAATAAAGTAATTTTCCACCGCCCTGAACCAGGAGCGGGCTGTCAGAACTGACGTTTTGAAGCTTATCCAGCTCGACAGATAGTTAAAAGAAGGGTAACATTTTGATTCTACTGTTGCCTCTTGAATTTGAAAGGGGGAATTTTGGATAAAGTGTTTCTGGAAAAAGAAAGATTGTTACTGTTGTTTTTCCCCCTCTTAAAAAAAAAAAAAGGGTTTTCCATCTAGTGGAACTGAGTGAAATTGCAATGCAGAGAGTTTAAAAGAGAAGGATCATTCTCGTGGGAAAGAATTTTTTCTGACCTTGAAGGACAATGCTTGTACAAAGGCTTGAACAAGTGTTCCTGGAAGGTTTTGCAAAATTAAGTGCCCAGCTGGACCAGATGCGTCAGGAGTCGACCTTGATGAGGACGGAAGTTACCAGAGCACAGCAGCAAACAAATGAAATTCAGTTAAAGTCTATACAAGTATATGAACCTGCTGTAGCGACGGAGGCTTCAGAGATGGAGGGACCTATGGATGGGCAAGATCAGCCTTTGAACTTGATAAATGAACTTGGGACAAACCTGATTCGGAAAGATGAAATGTGGTCAGATTTGGAAATGGGGGATGGATTGACACCCTCTATATGGTTATTTGGACTTTCCGAGTCTAGTGATGGGCCATCAGAGGAATGGAGTAGTCGAAGTCTCCAAGTTTCGTGGAAATTGGAAGTGGTATTATCTGCTGTCTGGCTTGGGCAATGGGTTTGGGATGGACTTGCTGCAAAGAGTCAAAAGCATCTTCTTGCTGGAGTATCCACGACTGAAAGGGAAATATCAACAAGAGTGGCGAAAGGGGCAAGAAAGAGACTTGAGGGCCTCGGATATGAGACAACCAGGTTAAGGAGCCGGATTATTGAGGTTAAAAGGACTGACAATCCCGGGTCCAGGGGAGGGAGGCTGGAAGTTGACTGGATTGAATCTGACTTATTGTTTTTGCTTTCTTATTTTCTAATATTGGGAATGTTTATAAATGTTTGAAGGATGTTGAATGAAATTATATGACTTAAGTAAGGATTGGTAAATGATTTGAAAAAAGGTAATGATGTAAGAATTTGTTAAATATTGAATATAAGCTTTGAGTTTTAAAGTTTTTATATGACAAGAGGGAAAATAGAATAAGGAAACGCAATGATAGATTGTTATGAAAAACAGAAAGGATTTGCTGTAAAAATTAAATACTAAGAAACAAGAGACGGAAGGAGGAGGAAGTCTAGAAAGGAAGTTAATGGAGATCGTAAAGGATTTTATATTTCTGTTTTTCTGTTTTTCTTTTTTCTTTTTTTTGCGGCTGGGTTTTTTCTTCTTTACTATTTCTGTATTATTTTTGTTTTATTTGTATTCTCAAATTTTTTTGGAAATTTTTGTTGTTACTTGTTACTTTTTGAAAATTTAATAAATATCAATTTAAAAAAAAAAAAAAAAAAAAAGAGAATGACGATATATATCCAGGTAATGATGGATATAATAATCTTTATGTTCCTCACCACCAGCATGACTAATGGAGGCCTAGTCATCAAGTTGTTCTCACCACTCACATGGCTATAGGCACAAGGAACTGGTAGGAGCCCCTGAAGAGGATGTAAGCCACGTAGCAGAGCCAGATGTTGGCAGTAGTGTTCATCAGCAAAAGGAGGCCTGCCTGGAATGCTGTCACTAAACCAATCACAAGCTCTGACCACAGCGTCCAACGGATCTTCACGTAGCCTGCAGCAAAGGAGGTGATGGCACCTGCAAAGAAACATACATGTTGTCAAGATATGGATGAGAGGACCAGGTATGGACAGCAAGGCCTCCACTCTCCAAAGCGGCACTTGCAACAAGGGGCACAGCAGAACAGTCATTGTTTGGAAAAACCCAAGGGACAATTTCTACCCCAAATATCCAAGGAGATTATTTTAAGCCCAAGGTAATTGAGGAAGAAATTTCTCTTTGGGCACTTGCCTTTGCTTCCCTGAACACCTTTTGTTTCAGACATTTTTAACCCAACACTTTACACTAGGATACAAACATGCACACAATGACTAAAAAAACCCAAAACATCCCCAATAATTTCTTGGAATATTTTATGTTCTGGACAGTTTTTTGTTTGTTTGCAGGAATAAAACTGTATACAGCTGAGCAGCTGAAAAATGGGGACATACCATACAAACGACAAAAAAAATATGTCCTAGAACGGCGGGAAGGGGGGGAGATGATGGCACTCCAGATGTTGTTGGAATTTGCCCCAGCCAGAAGTTCAAACATCTGGAGGGCTACAGGTTCCCCTGCCCTGCCCTAGAAGGACTATGCAGCAAGTTATTTCTATGTCAGTTCTGCAATGAAAAGTACATGGGGAGAGGAATTTTTGCCCTTCCTAGTTGGATTTAGCAAGCAAGGTTTTGTTTTTTGGACAATACTGACTGGGATTCAGATTCATAAAGTGCAACTCTCACAGAAGTAGGGGGGAAACTTGTCCTGAGACAAGCCCTTAAAAACGTTTAGTAACCAAGTTGCTCTGGATCCAACTGTAAAGGTAAGGGGTGGGTCACTTTCAACATAATTTATAGATTTCCTATAATGGGCATCAGCCTTTTTGCACCAGAGATGCAATGCATCCAAGTATACACCACAGTTCTAGCATGGTTTTTAGGATGATGCAAATGAAACCACCATTCTGGGTGTGAGAAAAGAGTAAAACTCTTAACAGGATGTTTCAAAACATGCTGCCAGCTGGGAAACTGCAGTGTAAAACCCAGAGAGATGAGAGGCAACTCGGGAAAGCCGGTGCTCTTTCCAAGCACAGCTTCCTTGCTGGCACCAGACTGATCAAGTTCTTAGGTGTAGCCACTACTGCATCTGCTCCCTGTTCTGGTTGACAGTGACCCTACGATCCCTTTTGGCTGGAGATGGCAAATACTGAGCTTATACCCACCTGCATGCAGAGCATGCACATTATCCCTGAGCTTTAGCACACAATAATGCATGCTTGTAGACCAACCTTGCAAGCACCCGGTTGGGGAAGGTTAGTAGAATGGTTGGCCTAGATTCTCCATGCAGGGAGATCCCTGAGGTGCATCACCTGAAGTTACTTTAAACCCAAGTCATTTTAGCAGAAATTGCCTTTGCATGAATGTACCGTATTTTCTGTGTATAAGACTAGGTTTTTTCCTAAAAAAGAATGTCAAAAATTAGGGGGCATCTTATAATCTGAGCCATCTCCCCCCATTTTCTTAAATCTGAGTCCCCAAAAATATGGGACATCTTATACATGGGGGTGTCTTATAGATGGAAAAATACGGTACTTTAGGACCATGGTCTAGGAGACTCTGCTAGGTGCTCTGAATTCATATTTGGGGCATAAAGCAGAGAGAGAAAGGGGTGGGGTGGGGTTATAATCAAGCTCAAACGGGAAGTGGGGGAGGATCTATATACCGAGGAGCGTTGAAGCAGCTTCCACAGCTCCGTTGTAGATTTTCCTGTTGTCTCTTGTGGGATATATCTCATTCCACAAAATCTGCACATAATAGAGTATTAGGTAGTAGCCAGCAGAATTGAATATCCACCAAAGGGACCAAAGTCTTAACTGCGGCAGCCGTATAAATGCCGCCAGCTCCTTTAACATCCGGAAAAAGACCATGTTCTTCCAGGTGGGGGCCTTGTGCCACGCTGGATCCCCGGCCCCAGCGTTCATTTTGTCCAGCTCAGAGGGCGAGGCGCCATTGCACACCGGCTCACTCCTGTTGAAGAAGAGGCTGCGCTTGGGGCGTTCCAGGAAGAGCGTCAGCAGCAGCCCAAAGGACATGAAGCCCAGGGATATGTAATTCAGGGTCGTGAAGGTGGTGCCCCCCACTGTGACACAGAGCTGCCCCAGCACGGAGCTGGCAAAGACTCCCATGAGGACCGAGGTGCGGGAATAGCTAGCCATGCGCTGGTAGCGCGAAGGGGTGACCAGGGAGAAGATGTACGAGGAGTAGGCCACCCGCGCCGCCATGGTGATGCCGTAGAAGAATTCCATGAACTGCATGGCAAGGATGCTGGTCCCGAAGATCAGCAGCAGCCAGATGGCAATGTGGCTCAGACTCTGCAGCACCAGCACCGGCTTGTACCGCAGGTAGTCGGTCAACAGGAAGATGGGCACCAAGACAGCCATGTATGAGTAGGACAGCACAGGTGTGATTTCATTGGTTACCTGCGAGAGAGAAACCAAAGCAATTCCAACGCCTTCCAACAGCAAACAACAAAACTATGTACACGCTGCCCCTCAAAGCCCCAAGTGATGCCAACCCAAAGCTGGGTTTGAGACTCCCAGATGTTAGGAACAAAGATTCTCATTATACTTGTAGTCAAACAACCTAATCCCTCTTCTCCCTCAACCACTGATTTGGAGCTCTCTTCCTACATTTCTTTTGCTGAGCAAGATGTGCAGAGGCCTTATATGCCACCTCTTAAAGCAACAGCACATGGTAAATCAATGAGGCTTCAACACAACCACCCCAGTGTGTATGCAAGAGGCTAATACAAGAGACAGCAGTCTAGATTTTGTGTTGTGTGTGTTCTGCCATAATCCAAGGGTCCACAAGTGCAATATGGCCCAATCTCCACAAGCTAAGCCCCCAACGCCACCCAAAGTGATTGCACTGATGGGAACTCCAAAAGCAACCCCACATAGGAAACTTCCTTATATCGAGCCCATCTAGTTCAGTAATTGTCTGCACCAGAGAAGGGCAGCTAATGACCAATGGTCTGGGATTATGGGCATTCTAGTCCAACAAAACCTAGAGAGCCACAGGTTTTCCCGGTCCTATCAAGAGATGCCAGGGATTGAAACTGGGACCATGCTCTACCACTGAGCTATGGCCCTTGACCCCGGTGCTTGCATATCTACGAAATGAGATTGGCATGATTATTAGGACTATGCTCTAAATCCCATGTTGTAGATCTTCCAAGTCACTCTTTAAGTGAGAGCCTGGAACAGCTGAAGAAATGGTGGCTTTAATCTGCATGCACAGCGTTCTGCCGTCAGACACAATGTTAAATTTTTTAAACTCCAAGTTAATACATCCAAACTCTGTCTGGAAAAGCACACTCAGTACTTCGTATGCTCTCACTACTAACCTTAGTCAGCAAACCCACATGGAATTCTATGGTTCATCAAGCTGTAATCGCTCTGACCTATATTCCATCTTCCAAAATGCATGACCTGACATTTTACTGTAGTAATAACTTTACGACCGGGTCAGTTTACCAAGCCACCTAGGCATTACTAAGTAGTCCATGGTTCACAGTGAAGTTTCCTTTACTTGCTTGCTGAAGGCAGGCAAGGGTGAATTGTCCTAGGTGACTTGTTACTGTTGGCTCAGCCATTTTTACTGATATATGTAAGCTATTTCTGTGTTGCCCAAAACAGCTTAGAATAATAAGTCAAAGCAGTACAAAAAAACTTTATTAACCATGCAATTAAAATCAATAAATATTTAACTCATAAATACAAAACAAGAGCGACAAATAGCACAGATGCACTACAGCTAAGCCCCTCATTACTGGCACAAGATGCCAGTCACTCCAGCTTGTCTTAGACATTTGGGCTTAAAATAAAATAAATACAATTTTAAAAAAGCAGGGAGTAGAATAAAAGCCTTGGGGAAGGGAGTTTCTTAAACAGGAGCACACCACAAAAAAAATCCCTATCACATGTGCTGCCAATCTAATTTACCCACTGATAGATCTATGAACTGAGGTCAATAGGAAGGTCCAAGGCAGGTACATATGGGCACAGATGGTCCTTCAAGAAACTTAATTTTAACTAGCTCTTTGAATTGGGCCTGGAAACAAACTGGCAGCCAGTGCAGCTGATATAATACTGAAGCAAAATGTTCTGATTGCTTTATCCCAACTAACATCTGGGCAGCTGGCATTTAGCACTACTTGAAGTTCCCAAACAATCTTCAAAGGAAGCCCTACCTAAAACCCATTGCAGTAGTCTAGTTTGGAGGTAACCAGTGCATGGGTAACTGAGGCAAGATTTGTCACACTAAGAGAGGGTCTTTGGCTGCTGTAACACCCAAGGCTGGTAAGGGCACTCCTAGCCACTGCTGGCTGTCCTTCCACAGATTGATTTGTATAGTGTCTGGACAGACCTCGCAGCCTGCAAACTTGGTTCTTTAGAGGGAGTTCAACCTCAGCCAGAATGTGTTGCTAACCTCCTTTTGGATTAACTGGCTTTCCTTAACCATGACTGCTTTTAAATTAGGAGAGGCTCTCACTGCAACCAACTTTGGGAGTCATAACCCTGCACTATTTTGATCACATGTTTTCCGGTATCATTTTGCAATGCACTGAGAACACTTTACACAGGGCACAGAGCAGGCAAGCATACTAATACAAGCACAGCACTGTGTGCTGGTTCAAGGAAGGCAAGGTGCTGGTGACACTCAAATCTGCTAAACTGTGCAAAATGTCCTGGGGGCCCCTCAATTTCTGGAAAGGCACCTGCTGATCACAGTCGCCTAATTACAAATATTTGGTCTTGCAAAAACAAAACATCTTGAGCGCCTTCTTTCGTTGGGAGCCCAAAAGCAGACCACCCCCCTTCGAGGTCCCTTGCTAAGGAGGTCAGCTAAGCTTCTTCTAGCCTCTTTTGATTGGAACTTGCTGTTTTCTAGCCATGGAAACAAATCAGCAGGAGGGACTCTGATCCTTGGCCAGAGCTGCCCTGCTAGGACACAGACCAAAAAAATAAATAAAGCTTTCTCCCAATGAGTGGGGGGAGGTGCGGAAGGGACAGCCTCGTGAACAGGACTCACGGAAGGTTAAATTCACTTGCCCCGTCAGGAGAGACAAAACATTATGATGGGTGCCACAAGGAACATTTGGCACAACCACCCTGTCAAGTTTTGTTTTAAATGCTACCCAGACCATAAAACTGCAGGCATTTGTGTATGGTTTGCACATAAATTGGTGTGCCTGGAAGAAAATCCACAAATCCTTAGTTAACACTTGAGCCATCCCGACTGTTTTGCTATATTTCGAAGGCAAATCTGCAATCCTGACCACAGTTCTTCTTTTTAAAGTGCATGGGCTTGCTCTATAGGAGCATCTATTATCTTCATATTGAAATTTGTAAGGCAGCTAGTCCTAGATCCTGAGAGGGCTGCACAGAAATTGTTGGCTTATATAGTCCATTTATTATACTGCACCTTTCTTTCATCATGGAGATACATAGGGGTGCCAGGTGGCCTGTCATCCAAGCACTTAGCAGACCCTCCCTTGCCAGACCTTCTTAGAGCCCCCCACTCCAGTGTAACCTTCCATTCTACACAGAAGCAGTTTCAGGGTCAGAAGATGGCAGGCCTGGTTAGTGGGTGAAAAGGCAAGCAAGGGGAGGAGAGGAACATACATCAAACAAAATGAGGAGCAGAACCAATGGGGAAAAGAGACAACTCCATTAAAAAGAAAAAGTAAGAAGAGTTAGAAGAGGAACTGGGGAGATAATACGAGTTGGGAAAAGCTGGCACCAGCTATGAATGACTAAGAAGCAGTTGCCCCTCCATTTTCAGCCAATGTAAAGGACGCAGTGTAAGCCAATTTGAATAACTTGTCTATTTATGGGCAGTTTCTGTTGGGTTTTCTGTTCAATGAGTTTGGGAAATGTGAACACATAGAGGTCACAGGCTGAGCCAATACACAGGGTTGAAATCTCTGCTCTGGGGCAATAATTATGGAGGTGGCCCCACAATTCCTCCTGCTCTAGGAACTGCTCGGTGTCTACTCTCATGTGCTGGAACCGTATTTTTTACCCTAGTCCAGCAATATGTCTCAAAGTACCACCTCATTGAATTCAACCTATTTCAGCCTATCACTAGCAAGGCATCAGTGTCATCCACTGCCTTCCTTCAATCTCCTAGTCTTTTAGGCTGGGAGAGGCTTGGAAGGATACACAAAGTTCGAGTGAGAGCCATGAAATGGCCTTTCTTGCTTTCACACCATCCATGCCCCCCCCCCCCCCATGTGGAAAATGGGAGACTCCTTTCGGGCCAGGGTTTATTGCTCCAGTGAACATCAAAAATGTTAAGAGATGAGTTGGGGCAAAAAAAATGAGAGAAAGAGTGCCTAAGTCTTCCCCCCCCCCCCCGCCCCCTCCTTTCAGCATGTAAAGAAACTGCTCACACAGTAATCACCATGTCTATGAGCTTTGGCCCTTCCAAAAGGGCAAAGTTGGAAGGCAGAATTACGTGATCATGTACGTATGCAGGCTGCCTCCCTGTCACCTCTCCCAGCCAGGCCTGTGTGGGATGAGAGCTGCCCCATGTCCCAGAGAAGCATCTGAGGACAGAAAATAGAAATTATTCATTGCTAAAGGGAGAGATAGATGGTTTAAACATAAACCACAAGGAAATTAGGTTAGCAGGTCAGAGAGTTAAGTTCAGCAAGGCTGTTGCAATCCCAACGCATATTCTGTAAGGCAGTTCAGAGTTCTCAGAATTGGAGGGGGGGTGGAAAACAGACTTCTCCCCTCCCCCTTAAAGCCAATAACAGAGAAATCCATACAACCTTTGTGAAGGGTGCTTTTTTAATTGCTAGATTTAAAAAAAAAAAAGCAGAAGCGCTGTTGGCTAGTGGACAGACTAGCCAACTGAAAGCATTTTTAATTCATTTATTATGTCCAAAACATGAACAAAAAAATAATAAAAAATGTAAGTTTACAATAAGTTTAGAATATTTACTCTTTGAAAAATGTGGGAGGTCACCAGCACAGACATTTTTATATCATTATTTGGAAAGACCAAGGGAAAATAATTGTACTAAAATTGCAACTGTACAAAACGAACAATTGAAACTGAGTGTAGCATTAAATTAAGCAGGGGGAACTTCAGCCTTCCCCGAGTATGATCTGTATTTCTGTATCTGTCATGGCAGTGGGTCTTCCAATGCATTAGGGTTGGCGTCCTCCCATAAGCACCACGGCACTCTCAAAACTCCCTTGGTACCCACCAAGATTCTCACCCTTTTCAGCTTTTCAATTTGAGGATAATTATTTTCCACATGAGCGAAAGTGGCACTGAGCGAAAGTGGAAAGCACTTTGCAGGCCATCTAGACACTTCACCTTCTGACTTAAATGTCCCCAGAATGCCTCTGTGCATGACGTAGGGGGTGTTCGGCATGATCTTTGGTTTGGTTGTGTGCTTTAACTGATTTTTTTTGGATGGGGGAAGTGTTTGAGAGATGTTTTGCCCACTTTTCATTTGTTTGGGGTATGTGGATTTTGCCTATATTTGGGAGGTGTTGCCTGCTTTTTTTTTTTTTTTTTTGCCTGCTTTGGAGTTTCTGCAGCTGCTTTGCCTATTGTATTTTTTTTGGGGGGGATGCACAAGCTTTGCCCATTTTTCTTCCGTGAAACTGGAATTCTGTGGTGCCAATGGCAATTTATTAAATTTGCAATTGTTTATGTGGGCCTAAGAAGGTTAGGGACCCCTGTATTAGGGCATGATCTGATTTTTAAAATCCCAATGATTTGAATGGAAAAGACTCAAACATATGGTGAACTCTCTGCTGAAAACTGACGAGACTTGCTATTTTTCTTTTGCGCAATAGGATCATTCCCAAGATAATGATTTCAGCATGTGGCTTTTTGTAATATTGAAATCTGTGATTAGATCCATTTGTCATTTTTAAATGAGACATCAGTAGAAAAAGCAAATACTAAAACGTTTATATCAAATTAATGTTCTAATACTCAGTTTGATTCCTTGTTAGGCATTTACTACCTGGTAATGTTCAGTTCTTTACTTTGTAAATCACACCCTCAAATCTCCCCTCTCTTCACCACCTCCACAGTCCACACACACCAATTATCCTCCAGCAAAAATGAGAGTTCTGACTGTAATTGTAACTGAGTGGAATAAAGTCCCCAGGGTGTATTCATCCTCAAAAGTCACTTGAGGAAGAATGGCAGTACCCCCATCTCCTTTGAGCAGAAACATATACTTCCTTGCTGTGGAACCCTCTCCCTGAAATTCTGTTCAAGTCACACACACAAGGAGGTTTGGCTCTATTCATGAGCCCTGGACAGTCCCAATGTTTACTTACTGGAAGTAACAGGTCAACAGTGCTTCACTATCTCAGAGAGAAGCTTCAGTTAACAACCCTGCACCTTAGCCTGTTACTTCTAGATAAGGAGCAAATGTTTGCATGTCTTGGAAGCTTGAGGTTTTATTGACAGATCAAGGCTACCAACCAAGGTATCAAGCCAGAGAATTGGGGCAGTTCAGTGGTAATGCCAAATGGTAGGTTGCCCTATTGTGAATGAGGACCCTGGAGTCTTGTGCTAACATACTCCCTCCTTCTCCTCCAGTTCTGCATGGTGATCCCCTGCCTCCTACTCTGGTTCAGAGCATACAGTAGTTTGGACCATTTAGTCCAAAAACTCATCTATGGTATGAGCTCGCCCTGGGATTGAAAACCAGTTTGCCAGGTGGGATTAAATGGCTCTCCTCAAACCAGGAAAAAGAGGCAGGGAATTGCCATGAATGGGATCAGGGAGTGCTTGAGTTCCTAACTGTGTCGAAAACATGGTTTGGTGTGGTGTCCAAAGCAAGTCAATGAGAGCTGGCTAAGATGTGCAAGAGATTTCACTAGATTTATGAGAATCAGGGCCATCCACATGCCCTGCAATTTATACCACTTCACTGCCCTCCTCCTTTCCATTATCGCTGCACTCTCCCAAGATGCCCTCTGTCTCCTGGCAGAGAGCACCACTTGTTGCTGAAACTACTAGAGAATAGCCAGGAGCAGATTGTGGAAGAAATGGGGGCCATGGTTGAAACTGAAGTTGCTGAGTAATTCCTTAGTTGAAGTTAGGGGCAAAGATACACTTTGATGCCATCTGCCAGCAGGAAGGAACGCTGTGTCCCATATCCCATAGGTACCCAGCCACCCAAAAGTGCTAGATCCAAAGCAAAGAAAAAACTAAGGATGGATGGAATGAACGGGAAAAGGAACAACAAAGGGGGAATCTTAAAACAATGCAGCATTTGAAGAGAGAGAGAGAGAGAGAGAGAGAGAGAGAGAGAGAGAAAGCCCAATGCATTTCAACACGTTGCTTCCTTCCTGGGCAAAAAGATCTTACATTGTTACAACAGTTCACAGTGAACAGACAATTCAGATGCTTACTTAGCTAACCCAGCTGAACAATTCACTTACAAACTCAACCTGTTAAACAGGCAACAGGTAGGCAGGCAACAGGATGAAGTTCTTTTTGGTTGCATTTAATTAAAAAAAGAAGCACATTGGCACCCTGCAGCACTGTGACCAAATGATAAAACACTTTCCCAGTGATTTTCATTACTTTATTAACTACGTGAAGCACAATCCATTTCCCATCGGGCATGCAATGCTGCATGGCAAGGGCTGCACACGCTGGCACTGGCTCAGCACAAGCCTCTTCTCTCACTACCTTTCATGTCCAGAATCACAGAATTACGGCACTGGAAAGACAGTGAAGGTTACTTTGTCGGACACTCTACTAAGCGTAGGCTCTACAATGCAGGATGCAGCCTCAACATCCCTGAGCTGGTCATCCAGCCTCTGCTTAAATACCTCAAGCAAACGAGAGCCCACCATCTCCCAAGCCAGTCTGTGCTGCTGACAGCTCAGGGCTTATCCACACTGACCTTTTGTTGTTTTGCCCCAAGCTTTCACTGCAAAAACCTGCTCTTTAAAGCTGAATTGGAGTAAACGTCTATTTGGGTTTTCCTCCAATTGCTGTTTGCTCCAATAGAGCTTTAAAGAGCAGGTTTCCATGGGGAAAGCTACGAAGAAGGGAAAAAGTGCTCTGACACAGAGCTTTAAATCGCAGGCCGTGGCTGGAAAGAGCTGGGGAAAGGTAAGTGTGGATAAGCCCTCAATGTTTGGACGTGTCTCCTAATGTGTAGCTGCACGGCAGGAGGCCTATGCCCACCTGTCTTCTGCACATCCCAGCCACCCGTCTCCTCCCCATGGGCCACCCACTGATCCACTTCCACCTCTCAATTTTCCCACCAGCACACACAGGAAGGATATGGGGATGGAGAAGCAGCCATCCCTAGCCTACTGCCCCAGACCAGGAGCTACTCGGGAAAACTTGCTCCGTTCACGCGCCAGGGCTCCCTTTGGCCTTCTGCAACTCTCCCCTGAGCTCACCTCTTCCTTTGTGAAGTTCTTCTCCGACCCCAACAGGTAGGGTGTGATGAAGCTCTCTCCAGGTCTGATCTGGTTCATGAAGCCATAGAAACAGAGGTAGAACACAAGGAGCTTCCAGCGTGGGTCCGGGGGTGGGTCGGGGGGTTGCTTTTCGGGGTTTTCGGCCTCAGCAGACATGGCTCGCCCACGTTGTCTCAATCAGTTGTAGGAGAGAGGAGCTCTTTTCACAGCATCCCTGTCCCTTGGCCACAGAAAAGCCTCCAGCACGCATAGGTGTGTCTGCAGAAAAAGGAGAGTTTGGCACCACATCAAATTTCCTAGTTGGAACATTGCAAACTAATACCCCCATCATCTGGCTAGGAATTTAGTTAATTTTGTAGCTACAAATCTAAGAGAACAAACAACACTCTGGTTCCCGCCCCCCTGCTGCCACTGCAATGCCTTTTAAGTCCACTTCCACATGGTGCCTGTGACCATTTCAACTGAATGCTTGAAGGCTGCCAGATCAGAACTTCAAAAAACCAAGAAATGCTGAAGCAGAGTTTATTCAGCTGGACTGATACATTTGGAAGCGATGAAGGGTAAATACTGGCATCATCCCTACTGTTTTCTACTCTTTTACTCCAAGCAGCTTAGAACAGAGGTTTCTTTAAGGCTCACAACAGCCCTGCGAGGTAGGTGGGCTGAGAAATACCCAAAGGACACCTTGGTCACATCGTAACTGAGCAAGGATAAGAACCAAGTTTGCCAGCCATACAAATCTAACACTGCCGCTGCTGTAACACACAGGCTCTGAATAAGGAATAAGTGGCAATAACAGTGGTTAATACTTATGATTAACTACTGACCAGGTTAGACTGGAATGCATCATACATGAAATTACTTTTCAAGACCAATTGGGTTTTTCAGCTGGTTCAAGTGGTTGTGAAGAGGCTCTGAACGGGGGGCTTCAGTGCAATGAAACATGGCTGGCCATGCAAGCATTTGATACATGACTGGAATTCATTCAGCAGTGTGGAAATGAATGGTCTTATGTATGTGTTTTATGGCCTCATTCTGTTTTGGTTGTTTTCCTGAATTACTGTTACCCACCCTGAGATACAGTATAAAGGCCAGATAAAGTGTATGTGTATAGATATATATGAGCATATTATGCCGGAACTGTAAGAGAGACCTGAAAACCCTGGACAGCCATCATCAGACAAGGAAGACAATGCAACTGAGCTGGATGGACTGATGGTCTGATTGAGTATAAGGCAGCTTCCAATGTTCCCACAATTTGCACTGAACCAAACTGGCCAAAGTGCTGGTTTGGGGCAGCTCATAAAATCCCACATGCCTGGGGCCAGCCTATCCACAAGTCCAGCATCTCTCATATGTGCGCATTCAATCATTTAGACTAACATAAGACACCCTTCTCTAAGTTGTTCTCTCTGCAACAACTCCATACACCCCCCCGCCCAGTGAACAATCATCAACGAAGCAGATGGAAGTACCAGAGACGGGACCTTCTTCCTGGTGGCTCAACACCTTTGGAACACGCTCTCCAGAGATGCCTGCCTGGTGTCTAATCGGTATCACTCACTCCGGTGGAGTTGCTGCTATTCTCCTACACTTCTTCAGGAGAATTTCTTCTGCTGCTTTAGGGTGGGGTCGTCGTTGTAGTTTTACAATATTTGATGCTTTTCTTCCTCCAATTGTAATATGGATATTGTCCTTATTTACAGTTGCCAAACACTCAACAACTTTGGGCAAAACAACCACAACACCACAACTTTTCTGTCCGGATTTTCACTTTTTGAAATATGGCAACCCTACCTTATTTGCAAGCTGGCTTTCACCAGTAAAATGGGGAAAATGGGACATAAAAAACGTAAATAAATAATATTTGCTAGTTTCTACTAGCAACCCCCTGCAACATCACATTCAGGCTGTTTTAACATCCTTATTATTCAAAGGATACTGAACTTCTATGACAGCTGTTGTGTTCTGAAACACTATGCTGAGAAAAATCTGGCCCACAGGCCCACTGGTTATAGGCAACCCCCTATAATTGATCAGCTGGTATTACTTCCTCTTGGCTTTCAGGATCAACAGGTTCACATTTAGCTCATTAAACATTCAATTTTCAATCTTTAGTTTCTTATAATGTACTAATTTTTGACAGTTGTTGCCTTCCAAAGCAACTTACATCAATTAAAGAAATGAAAGATCAGCCTTACAAACTAAACAATCAAATGAGCAAAGGGAAATGGAAGGAAGAAAGAGAGGGAGAGGGAGAGGGAGAGGGAGAGGTCTCCTTTCTATCGGCCACAATAAAGTCGTGAGCTAGAAGTGGGCATTTGTATCCAGCTCTCAATCCCAGGATGACATTCCCCTGCAGGAGTTCTTGCCTTAATAGCAACTGGTGGCTCTTGTGCCTCTGACCAATAGATGGGTCGCAGGTATCCTTTACCCTTGCAAGGCAACTAGCATTTGTAGCAAAGGCTCTTTCTGCCAGGGAGGCAAGGGGAAAAACCTATTGCAGCTGCTCCTTCCTTGGCCAGCAAGCAGATGGTGCCAGGCTGGTCTCCCCCTCACTGTGATGTTCTTCCTGGGAGCAGGGTGGGCAAGTCCCAGTGGAACTTGGTCACCCACTGATTAATGCAATGGGTGGAATTAAATGTCATGCTAATGTGATTGTCCAAGCATCTCCCTTCTCTCTCTCTCCACCCCTGCTAGCTGACCCTCCTGAGCAGTTTTCGGTGGTGGGCTCAGGTGCCAAGGGAGGCAGGAGCAGCTGCCCAGAGGACTTCCAAGGAGAGGGGAGAAGAGAAGAGGCTGAGGGAGGACTCCCAAGGGAGGGTGTTCGGAAAAAGGTTGAGAGGCTGCCAGCTCTGCAGGCAAGGGGTGACATAACTGGGCTCCACAGGGGTGCCGCAGAAAGAAGGTAGTTGGCCAAGGGAGCAGTAGACTCAAAAAGGTTGAAAACCTATGATTCAGGGTACCATCCAAGTATGTCCAATTTCTGCAACTCCATTTGAAAACTCTCAGAGCTATACACTCTGCTAAGACATGCATTTTTCTGGACCCCCTCTCCACCCCATTTGACAGTCAGGTTTTTCTGCTCTGTCAACAGGTCATACAGAGGAAACATCTCTCTTCTGTTTGGACAGCGTTATAGTGGATTAGGGCAATCTTACGGGTGAGCAAGCAGAACACCACACTGCTCTGTAGGAGGTGAACTAGCTGATAATCCCCTTCCCTCCAAGAGACAAAACGCACTTTGGACCTTTCAGGTTTGACTTTCTAGAGGTGTACAGTGTTGCCACTGGAACAGCAGATGTGTATGAAATTTGTGTAAGGGGGGGAATATGTGACACTTTGGATCCTGACCAAAGTAGCTAGAGATCTGGTGGCAGATGTGTTGTTTGTACTGGTATTATAGAAACCATTTTCGGTACATTCTGAAGACTTAAATTCTCTCTTCTTAACACCATCAAAATGGAACCAGTCATTAGTGATTTTTTAAAAATGTATACTGCCCTTCATCCAAAGATCACATGGCCGTTCACAACAGAAAAATACAAAACGAGAATGCAAAACATTTGCCTGGCACCTAAAGATATGTAATGAAGGCTGCATGTGAGTCTCCCAGGGGAGAGCATTCTACAATATATCATGTTATTTTAGATCATCTTATTTTTACTGCTGGTAACTCAGATCAGCTGAATTTTATCTCACTGTTGCTGTGGGTATTTGGCCAAAAGCACATTTTAAAAGTTGTCATCTTGATTTAGAAACTCAATCAAGCACACAAATCAATCTGGCTTACCTGACCCAACATGCCTTCCCCCACTTACAAATGCAAACAAACCCCACTGCAGCCAAGCACAGACAACCAACCACACCCTGGGCCCCCAATCCCTCTCACGACCCAGGAAATGTAACAAGTGAATAGAAGGAGAACCTATCCAGTTGACACTGACACAAAACCCCACACGTACACTGTACAAAATATAAATTTCACCACCACCACCCCTCTCCCCACTCTCTTTGTCTTGACCTTATACTGTACTCAACACTAATGTCTCATAACAAATGTAAACGATCTGTAGAAAAGACTGCACAACCTGAAAAAGAGAGCCAAGGCTTGGTTTACTTTTGTAAACCAAGAAAATCTTTAATAAAACATTTTTAAAAAGAAAAATAGAGACTCAATCAAGCCTTACTTCGTCAGATTGTGTCAGTATCACCTGTATTACACTTGCTTCCCATTCTGTCTCCAAGGAGTTCAGAGACAGTATCTATGAGATTTACAGTTCTCCATCCCAGGTGCTACCAAGCACCAGATTTCCTTAGCTTCAAGAGCTAGAAATACAACTAACAGGGTGGTAGCCAAATCATCTACACTTAGGAAAACACACATTCTTAAAAAAAATCAAAAAAAAAAATCATTGTTTTATTGCCCTGGTTCTCACTTGGTCTTTGCTCCTCAAACATTTTATCTGCATGAAAATACACCACAACTAAGCCTTTTTTATCTTCTATAAAACAACTATAAATAGGGTGCCATGCTGCTGCTGACAACACCTCCATTCTTATTCTCTAATACAGGCTTGAAAATTAAACTTAACCAACTCACCTGTAGCAAAAAAATAAATAAAAATCAATTGCCTCCAGCTGACCCCCACAGGGTTGCTTTGGGGGGGGGGGAGTGAGTTGATACTTTTATTCTCTTCCAGGCTATTTGTGAGCTAGTAACTTTGTTGGGTTTATATGTAATGCTGCTTGAAGCCCAAACTGGATTGTGGATATGCCCTAGGTCTACCACTGCCCCAGACCTTATTATAATGCTCCCTGAATACTACGTTGTGAGCCTGTTTTATGAAACAAACACGCACACACACCATCAATATCTTACATACAGAGATGTAATAGCCAAGGAAGCCAGGAGGTTCCCAATTTGGCTGTGTCTGTGTCCAAGTGATAAGACACTGTCTTTTTTAAAAAATTAAGCACTACATGTTAGAACGCTGACACAACGCAATGTAGTGAACATGTAATACTAGCATGGTGTTTGAGAGGGCATTTACAGTATTGTCTCAATTTAATGAGTCTAAGCTGCAACCCTATGCATACTCACCCACAAGCAGGTCCAAATGAACATAGTGGGATGTATTTCTGACTAAACGCACAAACAACTGCATTGCTAATAAAGTTTCATGGTAGGGCACTTGCTGAGACTCCAGCAGCTAGTAAAAATGGCATTAAAAACTGACAAAAGAAAACCAAAATATTAAATAAAAGTAAAACTCCAATAAGGCACATTTTACAATTAAATAAAAAACAACAACCCAGAACTCCACAGAAACTTAAAAGGTCTATATTTTATTGGGCCAACTTCTACTGGTCACAGTGTAAGCTTGTGAATTTCAGTAAACCCTTCTGTAAAAGAAGATAGCAAGCTGTTACCTTATTTGATCTTTGAAACACTGGGGAGTAAAGTCTGCAGAGTCATGCCATTGCATGCTCATTTGAGTCAGCACCATCACTTTCAATAAGCAACTATTTAAAAAACAACACCACTGCGACACATGCATAGTCCTGAAATAAAAGGAAATGAAGGGGAAAAAAACTACCATTCTTGATCAAAGGTTATTAAAGGTCTGAGCATTATCATTCCTACAAGTTAATAAAAGGAATAGTGCACGCATACCATAATAACGTTTTATTTTACAATTAGGTGGGACAAGCCTATTGTTCTGCTATACTGACAACTGCTATGGCACGGCTATGCCAACTTCTACTGGTCATAGTGTAAGCTTGTGAATTTCAGTAAACCCCCCCCCCCCCCCCCCCCGGCCATGGCTCCTCTCTTACATCAGCTGTATTGGTTGCCCATTTGTTTCTGGGTCAAATTCAAAGTGCTGGATGGAACATAAATGGTTTTACTGCAAAATACCATACTCTGCCATCCACTTAGGCCTGAGTAAAAAACTTTCCTGTGTATCTCACCACCATTAGAAGTATGGTTGGCGTGTAAAAGGGAACAGACCTTCCCTTTGGTGGTGCTCCAGGAGATCAATTTTATCTGCCATTGTTTTTCCATTCTCATTTGAAAATACCTTGACCCTGCTACTATGTGGTTTTGTTTTGCTCCTTCTGGATTTTCCCCCTATAGGTTTTTTGTTTTGATGGTTTCTTTTATCTGCCCCACCCCCACCCCACTTACGCTCTTTTTTCAGCTATATCTATAAAGATACTTCATTAATTCCCTTCAAAAATTAAGTTTCCCAACTCCTGCTAACATTTTTGTAATCCTAACCCCACATAAACTGGCTGGGAGAAGTTGAGGTGCACCACCTCCCCCACCTCCCCAAAAAAACCCTGGCGAAAAGCAGCTAGGTTGCAGTTTTATCTCACACAGGAGGTACACTAACATATTTCTATAAATTTGGGGGGGGGCTAGACTCACCTAAAATATATGGATTCAATAAAGGGTTAGATATATATGGGTATATAGAGGTTGTCATAAAGACACCACAATCTCCACTGTGTCTCACTGCCCAAAAGGAAACACAGACCCTGGTAAGAGTGCCTGGTACCCCTGGAATCTCATCTTGCTTGGAGATTGGGGTGACATGCAACAGAATCTACCTGGTTAGAATTGCTCAGCCTGAGATTTTCTGAATGTATTCTATGATGTAGTTTAAGCAGCTGTAATATTACATTCAGCTCTCACCCAAATATGTAAAGCAAGCCAGCCAGCTAGTCACATGTGGTTTATTGCACAGCTTATTCCCTTGGAATGTTATAAACACCAATGCAGTAGACGGCTGCTCCACTACCAGGTCATGAGAACTACAGCAATTAACCCTACTAATATTTACATACAATTGCTTGTGTGCGCACACATTCTCTTCAGCAGAGGGGGAATGTACATTGTGCTTGCTACATACAATTAAAGGCCAAGATTCAGAGAGCTGAATTTCTAAAAGTCATGTAGCCCAACCCTCTCAATGCAGAAAATCCCATGCTAGAGCATCCCTAATAGGTGGTGAACCAGCTTCAGATGAAAAACCTCTAGAAGAGTTCTCTATTTTAGGGCCAATGAACAGGGATTTTTTAAATTTAGCTTTGGGAGTTGTAGTTGTATGGGAGTGCCAACTGCAGGGGGGGGGGTCCAGTCTGACCAAATATATCACCATCTACATTACTTTATAACAATTATTGTCAAAAAAAGCATAGGTCTGGAGGACTACATAATGGTCTGTAGGCTCATCAGGAGAACACCAGTACTGTATTCCACAGCCGCAGTCATTAAAAATGAGCCCCGCTCCCCACTTAACAGCAGAGTTTGGTATATATTACTATGGGTTACAGATCTTCCATAGTTTAAAGCTGCCATCCTAAAAACCAGGAAGCCTATCTGTAAGCACAATGGGATTTACTTCTAAGCATTGTTAGGATTGCACTGTAAACAAGCACCGTTTCAGGATTTATTTACTACTAACACCTTCTTGTTTAGAAAGACTTTACCACTAAAACCTTCCTGTTTAGAAATGCTTTGGGAGCATGAAATGTGTGTGTGTGTTTTGCTTTTAACTTGTTGCAAGGAATTGTTTCCACAGGTGGAAGGCGGCCAGTTATTTTAATTGCTGCTTCATATCTGCTTTTGTATTCTGAGATTTTCGTAATCTCGTTCTCCTATGTTTACTTTCACCCCTTGTCATAAGCCACCTTCAGCTTTTTCAGAGGAAAGGAGCGGCTGGCATACACGTTTTAAAGGCATGCATACATTAATTTTTTTTTAAAAAAAACCACCCCCTCAAACGCGCGGCGAGGTGTGGCCGCGACAAGTTTTACTACCCCATACACCGCTTCCCAGGTGTCAAAACATACATTTGTCACAGGAGCAACGTGGACGAGACACCTGACCTATGCTCCTTTGCACAGAGTATCAAAAACTGCAGCAAGCGTGGGAGCAACAAGTTCCCCTTCTCTTTCTAGGACGAACCTAGTTAGGCAGCATGGGGGTTTTGCGTTTTTTGCAGGACAGAGCCCTTGGTGACCCTGCATCTCCCAGGTGGCATCCCAAACATTTCCCTCTGGCTAACCAGGCTGGTCCCTGCGCCCGCCCCAGGCCCGCCGCCCCCCGGCTCTCCCGGCCCCTTCTCCTACCTTTTGCCTCTTGCTCTCCCAGTGCACGGATTCAGGCGCCTCGCCAGCAGCACCTCGCCGCCATCCTCTCCCCGAGCAGCGCGCGACCCTCACAGCGCCGCGCGGGGAAGGAGCTCTGCAGGCGCCTCCCGCAGCAGAGCCCTCCCCCAGGCGCCAGCGGCCTCCCGCACGTGGAGAGAGGCGAGGCGGGGAGGGACCGGTGCCTACTGGGGACTGTAGTTCTGACGAGGCGCGGCGCTTGGCAAGGCACGGCGGAACTACAGCGCCCACAATGCAAGGAGGGCGGAAGATGTTCTCGCAGATAAGCAACAACGCGCCAACAAAGCCACGCGCTCGCCTGCTTCCGTTTGCAAAAATCAAACCCAGCCTGGTCAAGTCGCCCGACTTGGGGTTACTGTTTTCTTCACCGAGAACGACATTAAAATATGAGCGACCAGGAAAACTTTTCGCAGTGTCTGCCAGCAACTAGCGGGTTTTGAGCTTGCAACGCGATGCTTAGCCCGAAGTGGCGTGGGAAGCGATGGGTCTCGCTTGGAAATCCCGCTCATTGCTGGTGGGTCCGGGCTGACACCTGCTGCGGAATACGGTTGCTCCTCCTTCGCCTTTAATGACTGCAGAAGCGGAAGTTTCCTCCGGTGTCGCTCGCACGGTCGCAGCTGCTGCAATTCCCTCGCCTGTCGAGGGCGCGGGAGCCCCATCTCCTTTGCCCTTAGGCAACCCTTATTCCCGGGGGTTATCTGTCCCTCAGCTCCTGGTGCAATCCTATGCCCTCTTCCTGAGGCCGCGCAAATCCCCAGAGGTTGCTTGGCGCTCTTAGGGACACACGACGCTGCCTTACACAAACGTCATCTAGCTTCGCGTAAATTATAAATTGCTGAGGGATCTGGTGGAGCACGGAATGGTTTTTTTGGCCCGCTGTAGCAATTGTATATTCTTTTAAATATTGTATATCGCTTTCTTTCTTTCTTTCTTCTGCATCTCTATTTTGCCTCTCACAAGCTGAATCCCACACAATTCAAACTGAAATGCAACGCAAGAAGCCACGAAACGCAATTAAAAATCAATGTGGGTACTTAATGCGCTGCCTCCTGTCAATTTCGATCACAATTCCACGGGCGGTTCGCGGACCACCTGAATGAAGCAGGCCGCGGCTTGGGAAGCCTTGGTCTGCCTGCGCTATCTGGTTCCCTCAGAGTTTCAGGCGGGCTGAGGTCAAGTCCTTCATCCCTGCTCATCTCTCTTCAGTTATTAGCTACAAAATTTATATGTCGAAGGAGAGAATATGCTGTGTCTGGAACTGTCAGCTTTGCTAGGAATATCCGACCGGTTGGAAGGGAAGCCCTTCACATATCACGAGGTTTCCCCACATGAGCCTGTGCTTCTGAGGTCGTTGGACGGCTCCATCCCGCTAACCAACAGCTGGCCCCAAAATGTGCGGGCGGGGGCAGGACTTCGCATATTGCCGCTCTTCTAAGTCGCCCAACGTATCCACCAGAGGCCGCCACAGTTCCATCTCTCTCCCTTTTAAAATACTTCATCATACAAACAAGCATTGAATAAAACGAACAAATAATACAAAAACAGAAGAAAATACAATAGCAAAATTACAAGGATAATAACATAAACTACAATCAAAAATATAAAGTACAGCTCCATCTCTAAAAATCATCCAGTTTATAAATAAAGGGGCTGAGAGAGCCTTTTCTTCAGGGGACATGGCAGGGGACATGGCTGGTCCATTAGGGCAAATGGGGGTGGGGTTTAAAACCTTCCCTTTCCTGTGATCCCCTTTGTGCTGCTCAGCTGACTGGGAAACAACCATGTGTAGTAAAAACAACAACAATAACAAAACGTTTCCTGGGTGGTTGAGGGAAAGCTTAAAACTTGCTTCTCCCTGCGATTCCCCTTGTGCTATTCAGCTAACTGGGGAACTTCAGAGTTAATCTCCACCTGGAGCCCCGGCCAGCTGATGACTGGGAAGTCAATGGTATCAAAAGCCAACTAGAGATCAAGAAGCAGGAGCAAGCTTGTCCTCCCCCATCTCACTCCAGCAGGGAAACCAAGGCAGACTCAGCCCCATGGTCAGGCCTAAACCCAGTTCAGAACAGATCTAAATAATAAGACTGTTGGGTGGTTGGTGAGATATCACAAAAAGTTTCTCTTCAGCGCATTGCTTAGCTTTTCAATAGACAGACGAATATGCATCTCCATATGCATCATCATAGTCTGGAGGATCAGGGTTGCCTTCAGCGGGTCTCCCACCATCTCTGAGAACAGGATGTGGTGATACAGTTACAGGCTGAAATACACACAAAATTAATTTACTATATGAAATACTTTTCATTGTCACCACCCTTGTTTTACGGTCACAAACAAATGTACTCCCAATGCCATTTTCTCACTGGCTTTTAAAATATGACCCTCTTAAAATCCAATCAGGGGGTTGGACTCGATGGCCCTTGTGGTCTCTTCCAACTCTATGATTCTATGATTCTACTCAGATGCTTACCATGTCATTGCAGGCTGCCATGCGCCCAAAATGTGCTAAGAAAACAGTGGTGGAGAACTCCAGAATGCTGAAGAAGAGGAGAAAGATGACATGGCCAATACCTACATACTACACAGCAGAGAACCTTGCATAGTATACTTGTTCCTCCTACAAATTCATTCAGTTGTAACTTTAGAAAGTACCCTGCTAAACACATTCTGGGTGCACAAACAAACACATTAGGAAAAGTCGGGGGAAGTGCAGTGGTGACTATTTTGATTCTTTTGATTAAAGGGTCTACTGTACAGTACAGAACATTATATACACCTCTTCAAACATAAAATGGTAATACAGAATTGTTAATGTGTAAGAACCTGGGCAGGGACTTCCTTAGTATTTGAGTGCTTTGCAGAATCACAAAGCAAAGCACCAAACGCACATCTGACAAAGATTTGATAGGCTGTTGTACTTGGAATGCACAAATAAAGCTAAAAATATTTGAAGGCTGTTATTTTGGGATATAACGCATTCTGGTTGATTCATTTTACATTTGTGTAATAGATCAATTAAAGGACGGAGCAGTCTAAGGTACAACTGTGAGAGTACTCTCATGTATCATCCTTCCCATGGCATTTGCCTCAAGGCCTTTTAGAACCCAGGGGCCTGCAGATGGCTAGCAGCTGACAGAAAACTATTGACAAAGACACACACCATGCCATGGTGTCAGAAGCAGATTAAAGGGAACAGGATTAAAGGGAAGGGTTCTATTATAGCCTGTGGAAGACAAGCGCAATGGCATTCTCTACTGCATGTTCTTGAAATGCCACGTGAGCAGCTATGTACATGATTCTTTCCTCCACCCCTTACTAAAGATGTTGGTTTTAGACTCCTTTGTTTACATTTTTGCCATCTTTCCCCTATATTGGCTTGGCTAATATTTGGTCCACCAAATTTTGGTGGATGACAACTCCCATCACTTGCTGACTGGAGCTGGTGGGAGCTGGAGTCCAATGACATCTGGAAGACCACGCCTTAGCCAAACCTGCTCAGCATCCCTTGTACGAAGATGAGGAATGTCTGAGCAATGACCCACTGAAGGGCTGCTTGTTATTCTTTGATGTGGTGAAAGTGTAGAAATGTCATGTGGACATACACTGTGAAAACAGGAAGCGAAGCATGATTCTTTCCCATTTACTCATGTTCCCTTTCTTGGATCTTGCCTATAAAGTTAATGGTTTTCTTACTCACGCCTCTTTGCTTGTTCACTTATCGTTCTCAAAAGCCCATGATAATGTGAATCAGCAAATACAGCTATCTCTGCTATGTATAGAATGATGCCAGCTAAGGTCATTACAGCACTTGTGATGTTTATTCCGACACTGCATTTCACCTGAAAGAGAGACACAAGGAATTCAGCCACCAACAAAACATTTAGCTACCATAGGTCACCCCCCCACCTCCACCAATGATTCCTAACCTGATTTGCTGTTGAGTTGTAGTATTCTTCTGCAGACATCGTCTGGATGGTGTTACTGAGCAGAGAAGAGCAAGGCAATAGAGCCTTCTGCCTGATGACTGCCCTGGTGTCCAGAGAGGAAAGTGTCTGGGTCCTATTGCCAGATTCCCAGTGTCGAGCCCCCTCATATTTTATTGCATGAAAGTTCATGGGATCATGAGTTGGGATGGGGGGGGGGGGAGGAAGAGGAAAGAGGGAAATGCTCTATATCCCACCAAGCAGTCATTCATTTTTCGGCCGACATGGACAGGGATCCAGAAAAAAGGAACTGTTCAAAAGAAAAACAAAAATGCATTTTGCTGCAGTTCACTTAAAAATACAGGAAACTCAATCTACTCCCAACTACACAGTACTGGCAGGGAATGGCAGGGCCCTGAAGAGTGTGTGGCAGAGGCAGGGGACCAGGAGAGTGACCCAGGAGAGGGGACCAGTGATTTATGGGGTGTCACACCACCCGCAAGGCAGGGGAGGAGCAGTTAGAGGAGGTGGAAGGTAAGTAGGATGTGGAGGACGAAGAATGGATGTTTCAGGTGAGGGGCGGGTCAGTAGATTCCCAACCTTTGCCCACAGATAAATGCATCACATACAAAAAGGTGCATATTGGGCAAAAATGCCTACAAAATGTATATATTAAGAGAAAAACACAGGAAAATATTGATGAATTTTTGCGATGACTTCTTTTTAAAAATTGCAAATGGTTGTGGAAAGGTAACAAACTGAACCTTTGGAATGGAAAAATGAGAAGCTGAGAGAAACCTTAATTGACAGATTTCAACATCCCTACAAGTGATAAGACAAAGAAACTTGCACAGAAACTTGCAAAGAAACTGTCTAAACCACAGAGCCTAGGGCTTGCCGATCAAAAGGTTGGTGGTTGGAATCCCTATGACGGGGTGAGCTCCCGTTGGTCGGTCCCAGCTCCTGCCCACCTAGCAGTTCGAAAGCATGGCAAAGTGCAAGGAGATAAATAGGTACCGCTTCGGCAAGAAGGTAAACAGCGTTTCTGTGTGCTGCTCTGGTTCGCCAGAAACGGCTTAGTCATGCTGGCCACATGACCCAGAAGCTGTCTGCAGACAAACGCCGGCTCCCTCGGCCTATAGAGCGAGATGAGTGTGCAACCCCAGAGTCGTCCGCAACTGGTCCTAACTGTCAGGGGTACCTTTACCTTTACCTTTTACAAGTGATAAGGCAAAGAAACTTGCACTGGTTCTTAAAGAAAATCTATTCTGGTTGCTCAGAATCACTCTAGAACCAAATGTAATGTTGTGGCCTAGTTCCTTGGATAAAATCTCTGTACCAGGCGAGTAGTCCTGAGGTACTGAAGACACGGGGGGCTTGTCCACCCTTCTGCTTGTCCCGTGCTTTCAGAGAGGTTTTTCATTCGCCCCACTGATTTCCCTGACTGATGTTTGTTGTGATTCAGCAGTAAAGAGTGGGTTTTCCCAGGGGAAGTGGCAGCATAAACAAAAAAACTCTCAGACCCATGCCTTGAAGAAAGCATGAGAGAAGCAGAAGCACAGACAAGCCCTGAGAACCTCTTCCATGTAGCAGCCAAGAGGAATCCATTGGGAAACCCTCTCCTGTAGGAACTTCCATGGGCGGTGAAAGGGAAGAGCTTCTCTGTCATTTGCCAAAGGGAGTATCAGTTCTTCCTCCCTAGGCATTTCCCCAGCTCCTGTGCCCAACATTTACCATCAAGCCAGTGGTAGCAACAGATTCATCTGGGGACTTAACAGCTTCACCAAAATGC